GGGTGGGGTTGGGTGGGGGAATCTCTTTGTACGATTCCGGACACTCGCGGGCCCACTGCTCCCCGCATGGCGGCCCCGCGGGCGAAGAAGCCGCCCGAGGTTGCGGCCGCCAGACGGCGTCCCCCGTCGCTCCCGCCCCCGCGCATATACGGTAAGGCGCAGCAGGGCGGCGGCGCGCCGCAAATACGCGCCGGCCCGGACCCAGGCCGGCCGGCCGGCAAGTCGCCAATAATCGGCAAATTCAAGATCTAGAGGCTTTGCCTGTAGGCTGGTGGTGTCGGCGTGGGAATGCCCATCGCGCCCGCGCAGCGGGACCGCCCAAAAACTCATGGCGCCGGCGGCAGAAAGGTCGGCAAAACCTGCCGCCCGGCGCCATGCGCCCCCTCCCCTCCTCGTTGTCTCGCGGTGTTGGAACAGGGGGCGATGCGAGTGTCGTCGCCGGCACGCGCATGCGGTATGGCCGGGAAAAGGGGCGGAGGGTCCGAAAGCACCAGGACCCCGCTTCCCATGGAGACGGGGGCGCCGGGCGGCGCGCGGCCATGCGCGCGCGCAGCGTAGGGGGCGGTCAGCAAAGTGGCAAGCCCCTACTCTGCGTGTGCGCGCTGCGCGAGGCCCGGCGCCAGCGAAAAACAGCCGGGGGCCGCGCACGCCCCCGCAAACCCGGGGGGCCGCGCAGCCCGCGCTACAAAAACGGAGCGGGCGGCGTGTGCCGCCGCCCACAGCCCTGGCTGTCCTATTGCCGGACAATCAGCTGGCCAACAAAACACACGCCCTGCGTGAGAATGGTACAATGCTGCGGCTGGCAGTGCCGTCCCAGGCCCTGCAAGCCCAGGCATGCCCCTGACCGGGCCGCACGCTGGGCTTGACGGGGCAGCCGGGCGCAGCGGAGGCTGCAGCGGCGCGGGCCGTAGGTCACAGCGGCCGTGGGGCTGCGACGGCGCGTCACGCCAGGACTGCGACTTGCCAGGTGCCTCCTGGCTGCTGCTGCTGCTGCTGCTGCTGCTGCTGTTGGACTTGCTGCTGCTGTTGCTGCTGCTCCTCCTCATACCCTGGCACAGCTGCTGCCGCGGCCGCGGCCGCAGCGGCTGCCGCCGCGGACTCCCAAAGCTGCTGCTGCTCGTGCTGCTGCTGCAGCGCCGCCGCGCCGCTGAGCGCCGCTGCGCGCTGCCGCACGCGCGCGGCCCAGCCGCGGAACTCGGTCCAAGCGGCGGCCTCAAACATGGCGTCCCCCATTTCGGCCATCACCACCCGCGAGACGGGCCCCACGTCGACGCCGTTGTAGCAGCCGGCCCCAAACGCCCGCCGCTCCAGCTCCCCGAGCGCTGCCGCGTCGAAGCTCACACCCGCGCTGCCGAGCGCAACCGGCACGCCGAGCGCGGCCGCCGCGCCGCGCAGCTGCAGCAGCAGCGTCTCTGGCGACGCGAGCGCGTAGGCGGGCTGGGTGCAGTCCGCGACCTCGCCGCAGCCGAGGTGCACGGAGGCGCCATGGCGCGCGAGCGCGGCCATCGCGGGGAGGTAGGCGTCCCTGTCCGCGCGGCCCGCGTACCCTGCCGTCATCTCCGCCGCGCGCGCTGCCGAGTGGCACCACCAGTGCACCACCGGCAGCGCCGCGTGCAGGCGCACGCCGCGGCCGGCGAGCGCGCCTGCGGCCGCGCCGAGCACGCGGTCTGCGTGGCGCGCGAGGAGGCCGCCGTACCACTCCGTGAAAAACCTGCCGTACTCACTGCCAAAGCTGCCGCCCTCGTGGTGGAAGAAGCCCGTCTGGTGCGGCCAGCGCGTGTAGCCGCCCGCGTCGTGCGGGCCGCCGGTGCCCCAGTGCGGCTGCCCGGCCTGCTGCGCGGCTGCCGCCAGCGAGGACAGCATGAACGAGTCATAGCACTGGAACTCCCCGACGCCCGGGAACGCCCAGCGGCCGGCGGGGTGGGAGGGGTACTTGAGCTCGCCGCCGGGGCCCAGGCCGACGCGGGCGTCCGTGATCGCGCTGCCCAGCAGTGGGGCATGCTCCGCGGCAAACGACGCGACCAGGTCGCCGTAGCACTGCACCGCGGTGCGGCCTGCCAGGACGGGGACTGCGGCAGGGGGTCGCGGTGCACCAGGAGGGCGGGGGCGCGGGTCTGCAAGGCGCTCGGCGGTGCTTTTGGGAGCCGCTGCCCAACCGCTAGGGCGGCGCCGCAATGCTTCAGGGCAGGTGGGCGCAGTCCCCGATGCGCACGTGGCCGCCCCAAAGAGGTGCTCACGCGTGCCCCCCGGCGGTGTGCCCGAGCCACCGCTCACCGTCGTCCACGCCCAGGGTGAGGCACTCCCGGCAGCGCTCGCCCGCGCGGTCGGTGAAGAAGATGTCAGGGCACTCCTCCCCCTCCCGCAGCACCCACCGCGGCAGCGGCTGCCGCGGCCCCGCGTGGAAGCAGAAGTTTGGCTGCAGCCTCAGCCCCGCCTTGCGCGCAAGCGCGAGCGCAGGGCGGATCGCGCCCCAGCTGTACACGCGGGGCACGGGCTCTGCAGCGCCCCAGTAGATGTTGAGGGTCACGCCCCACACGCCAAGGGCCTTCAGGGCCTTCAGTCCTGCAAGGACGGCCTGTCAGGGACGGGGGTTGTTCAAAAGAATCGGCGGCATTGAGTGAGGGCCCACTCAATGAGGGCAGGCAGGGACAGATAGCACCGGCCCTGAGGGGCGCAGGCGCCTGCCGGGTGAGCGGGGCCACCTGCTCGGCGACCCGATCGCTGTTTCATCGCGGTGCGCGCGCGTCGGCGCCGTCGGCAGTTCATAACATTGCCGGAGCAGCTAGCGCGCGCGACGTGTGACGCGCCGCTCCAGCCCACACCTCGGGTTGGTGGAGCGCCGCGCGGCATGCGTCGTCACTAAGAGCTACCCATAGCTGCAGTGCTGGGTCTGCCAGCACATCGGCGTCGACCTGCAGCATGCGATACCAGGAGCGAGGCCGGCGCAAGGGTGGGGCCAGGCCCGCAAAACAGCCGCCGTGGCAGTTGCCGACTGTCGCGCTGGCGGCGGGCGCGGGACCGGCGCCCGCGGGCCCGTGGACGAGCGCGAGCACTTCTCGGACATGCATACAACGCCCATCGCAGTTCATGACGCGAGCGGCAGGACATTCCGTGGCCTATCCCAGGGAGGCTGAGTCGGAGCGCCAGGGTGGCCTCACCACGGGAGCCACGGGCGCTCGCCCCTGCTGGCCACTCAGACCGCCAGAAGCACTTCGGCTTCGAAGGCTGCCCGCTGGGACGATGTTCTGGGCTGGGACAAACGCGCCGTGGTGCGTGCGAGGCTGCTCCTCGACCGCCCAGGCCGGGGCCTCACGCTGCGGTGCTATGCATCCACAATGCACAGCTCGGCGTGCATGGGCCGTTGTCCGCCAGGCTAGGGGTGACGGGGCTGGTCGAATGCTGGCCCCCAGACACTGGTGCTGCATGATGATGCGTAGCTATGGTCCCATAAGACACGATGGCGTCTCACGTCAAAGAATAGAACAAACGAAGCAGAAGTGAACAGCGCACCACTTGTTGACTGCGGTAGGCGCATTGCGCCCTCCAGCAGCTGCGCTTGACCAGGCGCGCCAAAGCAATCCTTCGCAGCTGGCTGGTGCTGGGAGCAGCCGGCTTTAGCTGGTTTGTTGCGTAAAGTTGCCTCTCACTGGGTGCTCATCTCATGAATGTCTGCCTTCGGGGGGCTTATTGATGTGGGATGCGGTGCCAAAGCGCATCTTGCGTTGTCAGCCGGGTTCACTCCATCCCAGCCGCATGCGCCGCTCAAGTTTCAAGCTGCACCCTACCGCCCGTGCCTCTGCTACACCCTGTGGCCCCGCTTCGTCCAGTTCATGTCGTGCTGGCAGATCCAGTCTGGTAGAGCCCAAGCATGGGGGATCTGCACCCCAGACGAGGAATGATCATGGCGAAGCTCAAAATCAATTACATCTCCAGCGCACCCCCAGTGAGCAAAAACACGCCGTCACGCATCAGCCAAAAAAGGCCATGGCAATTTTCAAAATACCGCCATGACACAGCATGGCATGTTGCGGCATGGCGTGGCATGGCATGGCAGGCATGGCATGGCATGGCATGGCACCGCATGGCGCACTACCGAATGGCCATGCGAAACGCCCGGGCCCCATCCACAGGAGGCACGGCAGGCAGGCTTGTGCGGCCCTGCACTGCGCCTCACGCATGCCGCTGAATGCAGGAAGGGGGGCCGGCGAGCGATCATCAATCCGACTGGACAGTGCTGCTGCAGAGGACGAGTACGCTGCTTCATAACAACATCAGAAGCGCACCCATCAACACGGCCACAATCAATAAGTCGCATAGAAACGCAAGACGGTTGAGCTCACGAGCCCAGGTTCGCACGGCAACGCGAGCAGTTGCTATCTTCTCATGTGTCCCCCCCCCCCAAACCATCCTGCGGGTAGCTCGCATACAGTATTCCTTGCACGCGAGTGCCCCAGAGGGCGCCAGCCCTCTAGGCACCGCACCTTCTGCATTCCCACCAACACCTGCCCCCCCTCAGAGCTTAGCTTCGGCGGCGGCGGAGGCAGTTGCAGCGCGCTTTGCCATGGCCGCCACGGCGGCCTGCAGCACGGCGTGCACCTCATCATAGTTTGGATGGCAGGCGCTGCGCACGCGCTCGAGCCAGGCCCGGACTGCAGGGAAGCCGGCCAGCATCTGCTCCATTCCAGGGCCACCCGCAGGGTCGCCGGCAAGCAGCCTGCGGGGTGTAAGTAAGAGCGCAGGATAAGGAGCCAGGAGATGTCGAACCATGGTAAGATGCTTGCGTGTGTTGCATGGGTTAGGTTGTGTTTGAACTGGCAGAAAACAACCTGCAGGAGTCGTTTGCTGAGAAGAGCCCCTGCACCACCGCACATCGGCAACCATGTCTACGACCTAATGCGCCAAACCCGATGGTGGTGAGAGCCCGCACGCCCCAAACTACCGCTGCCAAGCCCACCTGAGCTGCTCCAGCTCACAGGCCGCCAACAAGTCCGCGGCGCTGATCTCGTCGCCCGCCAAAAAGCCGCTGCGGCCGCCGTCCAGCCAATAGTGATCCAGGTCTCTCAAGGACGCTTTCAGCTGCATCAAGCCATTTGCCGCAACCTCCGGCACCATCGGCGCCCCGAAGACGCGCCCAACGACACGGTGCATCAGCAGCTGCATCGCGCCGCCGCGCAGTGACGAGCCCTGCCAGCTCAGCGCTGAGTGGAAGCGCGCCGCGCGCGCCGCGGCCGCCGCCTCCGAGTCAGCAGCGGAAGCGCCGCCGCCGCCTGCCGCACGGCGGGGCCAGCGGGGAGCCCAGTGGTTTGGAAGGTCAAAGCGGTCCGAGAGGTACAAAACGATGGCGGGGCTCTCTGGCAGCCGGAGGGCCCCGTCGACGAGGACTGGCACCTTGCCCAAGGGGTTGATCTGCGGCGGCACGGAGGCGAGCAGCCATCATGCGCCGCACGAAATGCATTGTTGTGCCCGTGGCGGCGAACGTGCGGCTCGGGGCCAAAGGAGTCGCGCGGCCCGGCAGTCTCACTGACATCTACTCCTGTTGACGTGCGTGGGGACTGCACTCCCTGCTGGCGGCGCGGGCGCACCTCCTTGTACCAGGCCTGCCTGTGCTCGCCTTTATCCAGCCGCACAAGCTTCACGTCAATTGGGAGGTTGTGCACGCTGCGAAGCAGCACGAGGGCGGCGGTTGCGGCGGCAGCCGCAGCAGGGGTGACTTCGGCCGCAGGGGCGCAGCATGGGTGCCAGACGCGACAGCCACGCGGCTGTACCAGGCCGGGGAGTTGCTTGAGCTTGTCAAGGGGCACACGCGCAGGGCGGTATGCAGGCGCAGTGGGGGTCGGTGCCGTGCAAGGACTTGGATCCAGTAAGGGATGACCACTGTATGACAACTCTCTAGTGCTGCTGACTCACCGGCAGAAGATCACGACGGCACGCGAGGGCTGGGACATGAGGTCGGCATAAAGAGTGGGTTTTGAGGAGACTGCCGCCATCGTGCCAATCAGCGAGGGTGGTGCTTTTGCGGTGCACGAGACGAGCTACGGTAGCCTGCGAGAAGGGGACGGCAGGCCGTGGACCGCCGCAGGTGCTTTTCTGCCGTGCAAGCGCGCGCCAGGTCGAACATGGACACGCATACGGTGAAGGTGAGATTGATAAAGCATTTGCGCCCACCTTTGGTGTCGGGCGTCGGGGGAAGGGCGCGGGCAGTTCTCGCGCGAGATCACGACCTTGCAGCTGGCACCGTTCAATCTGTACGTGGCTCAACTTTCATACCAAGCACGTGCGGTGACATTTTAATTCAAGACGGCCTTCAGTTGGAGTGTTTCCACCAAGCAACAATCTCACTGCCCAGCTTGCAGCCACTTGCCCTCACGAACCGACAGCCTCAGACGTTTGAAAGTACCGTACTGCCCATACAATCGGATCTTGCTGTCCTGAGTGCTATCAGGGACATTCTTTTGGCGGGCTCCCGCTGACCCCCGGGCCAGCCCGACAGCAGCCCAGCCATCGAGCGTGGCAGCATGAGGGCCCAGTCTAGCGCAAATTGCACAACAGTGGTGAGTGAAGCGCCTACCTGACCGAGCCCGCCTTTGCTGCAAGAGCTGTCGGTGTCTCGATACGTTCTTTGGTGGTTTGAATGTGCGCATCCATCCCCTTGCTGTCCCTTGGCCCGGGGCGGGATTGAATGGCGTCCATCGCATTTATATCCCAGGCACATCACGCTTACCAACATCCCCACCATGGCTGCATCTCGCGCAGGCATCGAGCTGCACGCCCGCCGCGCCCAGGCAGCAGCCGCCCCGCGCCCGCGCCTCACGCCTCACCACTGCCGCCGCCTCGATCGGCGCGCGCGGCGGCGCCGCCACCGCCGCCGCGCCGCCGGGCGGCCGCCAGCGCGAGCGCACGCTCACGCTGGGGACCGGCGAGCTCACCGCCACCAGCAGCGCCGTCGGCACCAGCATCAACTACCGCATACGGCGCGACGGCACGGGGGGCGGCGGCGTGAAGGACTTCCTGGACAAGCTCTGGCTCGTCTGGCAGATCTTCTTCCCGGAGCGGCAGCCGGACACGACCCCCAAGGACGGCGCGAAGCAGCGGCTGCGCATGATCCTCGTCGCGGACCGCTGCGGCCTCAGCCCGTCGGGGCTGAGCGAGATGAAGAAGAACATCCTGCGGGCGCTCGAGGAGTTTGTCGACATCGAGACCGAGGAGGAGATCGACGTGAGCATATCCATACAGCCGGACCTCGGGACGATCTACTGCGTCGCCGTGCCCGTCAAGCGCGTGAAGCCCGAGGCACGGATGGGGCTGGACGGCGGCGCGGACGGCATGGACGTGTTTGAGTGGGACCCGGAGGACAAGGAGAGCGACCCCTCGTCGCGCTTCCCGATGGGCTGCTGAGCGGCGCGGTGCCGTGGTGCGTCGCATGGCCAGCAGATGCTGCCGGCGCTGCGGCGTGCCAGCTGCAGGGGTGGAACGGCGCGGCCGGTTGGCTGGCTGCGGGCCTGCATGCCCTGGCTTGTACTGTTTTCCTGCTACCACTGCCGCCGCTGCCGCCTGATGCTTCTGGCGGCAAGCAGATCCTTCCTCTTTCCCAGTTCCACGGGGTCTTTTGAATCGCTCGTTCAACCAGGTAGCACAGATCAGCACAGCACAGGCGTGAGACAGCACTCCGGTGCTGCATTCGACAGCCGTTGACCCCACAGGCTTCCACCTTAGGCGAGTGACAGCACGGCACACAGGCACGCGCACTGTGTTGCACGTCAAAAAGTGATATCATCAACGCGCGCGCACACGCGTAACTGCACATGTATGTACCGATGCCGACACGGGCGGGCCTCCCTGCGCGCCGCTGGGCGCGCGGCGACACGCGGGGCTGCGGCCCCTCTGGATTTGCTCCTTGCTCTGAACCCTGGATGTGTTGTCACACCAGGTGCGATCTGCTTTGGCCCGCACAGCAGCGACACACCAAGCGTTCGATTTGGCACACGTCCTGTTTTCCTGACCCAGGTTGAGGCGTACTTTCTCACTGTAAGCAAGGTACCTCTACTTTGAACCACATGCCTTGCTTGGGTCCACCTTGACTTGCCGGCCAATGCTGGCTACACGGGTCCGTTTGCTGCTGGGTGATATAAAAGTATACCTCAACTACCTTGGAGTCCTAGTCGGCCGTCACCGTCTCACAGGGGGTGTGAAGTGGCAAGTGAGCAGCAAGCAGCAGAGTGCTCAAATCCAGCTGATTTGTATTGAGATATGACATCGGAAGGGCATTTGCATGTGGTGCTGCGCGTGCAGCGAGGGAAACTACCGGCAGTCTCGGCAGATCATTTTGACGAGAGGTTTTGAACCGAGCCAAAGTCCATGCGTTGTCGACGACTTTGAATTCTAATACCACAGCCGTTTCGCCATCTTCGTGCACAACAACGAACCGCTGCCGAGACCTCCACAACAGTCCTCAACATTTTTAGCCTGCGCCGTGCACGGTCCGAGAAACCATATATACAAATTACGTCCATGCAGGGGTTGCTGACGCGCGGGGCACCGACCGCGTGCGCCCCCGGCCGCTGCGCGCGGTCGCGCGCCGCGTCATCGCGCTGCTGCTGTGTAGTCGCTGGAAGCACGCCGCGGCGGCCCTGTGGTGGACGGCGGCGGCAGTCAGCGCGTATAATAGAGGCCAGCTATCGCCAAAACAGCGGCTCGGCGCTCAAGCGCAAAAGCGGCAGCGGCTTGCCGCCGATTAGCGGAGGGGTGAGGGCGCGCTGCCTGCCTGCAAGGCAATCGCAAAACTTGACACACCCCCGCCCGCGGCCCACACACGCATGCATGCCGCCCCCTGCGCTCTTGGCAGCACGCCCCCGTGCGCCCCTGGCGCGGCGCCTTGGCGCTGCCACTTGAACGTGCGCACCCCCGCGCCCCGCGCAGGATGACGGCGGCGGCGGCGGGGACGGGTGGGGCTGGGAGCGCGTGGCGCGCAACGTCATCCCAAATCTGGCCTTCCTCGGACTATACTTTGCGATCACATCGTGAGCCTGCGGCTCTTGCTGCTCTGCCTGCTGCTGCCGCACCAGGGCTGCTGCTGGCCCGCCGTGCTGCTGCTGAGTTGCGTTTCGGAGTCGCACAGCTGTCCCCCCGCCTGGATGCATGCGGCGACGCCCCATGCACCCCCTTTCTCGGCTGATGACCGCCCCTCGGCCTGCCACGCGCCCGTGCGGTGCCGCCCGCAGCTATGGCGGCGACGGGTGGGGCGCTGGTGAGCCGCCGCACGCATGCGTGTGCTGCCCCGCATGCGTGCAGTGTCGTGCGCCTGCAACGTAGGGGGGCAGCAGCCGCTGGCATTCTGCAGTGACACCGTGTGCGAAGGCAGCGGGCTATGAGCGGACAATATGTTGACAGCACCTATTTATGGAACCCTCACGCAGGCGGCGGTGGGGGCGGCGGCGGCGGGGG